CTTTAGAAAAAAAACTGAACTATTGGAAGTGAAGCAAGGCAAAGAATAAAAAATAAAAGACAACAAATGAAGGGAATAAAATTGTTTGCGTTTTTTCTCTCCACGATGTAACTTGAACAACGTATGAGCCAATCTACCAGAGAGTGTTGTTGGTACTGCTTCTGTTTCAGAGCAGCCAATAAGCAGCGGGAAACATTAAGACACACAATAAACGAAACGAAAGGATGCAAGCTGTACAGGAAGTAGAAAAAAAATTCAATTGAGAAAAAAACACCAACACCACTATCACATACAAAAACACTAATGTAACGCTATTCGCATCTGTGAGTATGCATTTAGTCGAAAGTGTGTGTACATGGGTGTGTGTGTGTGAGTGTGTACACTCTTAAAGGAGTTTGCCGTTGATTTGTGTCCGCACTGATTGCTTCCTAGTGTAATGCAATCTCTTATATCAATCTATGGGACACAAAGCAAAGCTGAAGTAAAAAATGCAATAAAAGAAAAATCTAGAAAGAAAACAAAATGCGTGTGAGTGGATGCGTTACAGTCTAAATGCGTTGCTTTGACACATATATACCCACAAAGACATATAAAGGAAACTGTACCAGGAATAAACTAATGTATATGTGTACTGGTTCTCATTCAACAGCATTCCTGTACTATGCGATAGATATACGGTATAAAGGAGTTCTTTGGTTGGTAGATGTAAGTGGTTGTTCTAGTTGAATATACAAAATATTAATATATTTTGTTGGGGAACCAGAAATCCATTATTTTTATATCAACTATAGGACTTTACATAACATGCTTTGAAATGTCCGATTTGGGCAAAATATGCACCGTTTTGTTGTATGATTTGTTGCCATTTTAAAGGTAACTTTATAATGCCTCTTTCATAGAAGTCCTGCACTCTATTTACAAAAGATACAAGATACAAGATACAAGTTTTAATCAATAAAGAAATTTTGCAATGTAAGAAAAATATGATCATCGTATGGTGCCAAGTCCGGACTGTATTGCGGATGCATTAAAACTTTCGAACCCAGCTCCTAAAGTTTCTGGAGAGTCACTGTAGATGTGTATGACCTAACGTTGTCCTGGTGGAATACAACACTTCTCCTGTTGGCCAATTCTGGCCTTTTGTGCTCAATTGCTATCATCAAACGGCCCAGTTGTTGACAGTAGAGATCAGTCCCACCAAATGCATAGCAGAACCTTCCTGGCCGTTAGTCCTGGTTTGGCCACCGTTTGAGGTGACCACAATCGTTTTCGCACAGGTTTATCGTTTATGATCCATTTCTTCAGTCACCTTCCGGTTAAGAAATGGGTCTATCTCATTCCGTTTGGCCAAGGCTTCTTAGATGGAAATAAGATCCATTCTATTTTTATACCCTTCACCACACTGTGGTACAGGGTATTATGTCTTTGTGTCTGACAAAAGGAATCGAGATAGACCCATGGTTTCTTTGAAAATATGCATAGAATCACTTTCTTATTCGATTTACGCATTTACGTCTGTCCGTCCGTCAATGTATTTCTGTGAATAAAGTACAGGTCGCATATATGATCCGATTTAACTTATTTTGCCCAATGACGAACCCTATTGAAATTGGAGAAAACCGGATCAGATTTAGATATAGCTCCGGTCCGATTTTATTTTAAATGAAACCAAACTCTCAATAATTATTTCGATCGGGACAAAATTTTGCATAGCACACTGAATCAGGTCCATACTTATCTATGGAATCGGTTCAGATTTAGATATAAGTCACATATATAGTATCGTCCGATTTTATCTAAATGATGCACCAAACTCCCAATATTTGTTCGATTGATATAAAATTCTGCACAGAGTACTGAATTTGATCCAGACTGATGTCTGCGAAGTTTTGTTAAAGTCAATTCAGACGTAGATATAGCTCCCACATATAGTTTCGTCCGATTTTTTGTGAAAGACACACGAAACTCCCAATATTTGTCTGATTGAGCAAAATTTCGCCCGATTCCATCTCAATGGAATCTTTTGAATCTCAATGGAAACTTTTGAACTTTCCTCACTTTTTTTTTTTTTTTTGTGTTAATTGGTGTGGCAGCCAAACATCAACTGAAGAGCTTAAGGGAGTCTCTATAGGCGAGCTGAAGGGAGTCTCTATAAGCGAGCTGAAGGGAGTCTTTATAGGCGAGCTGAAGGGAGTCTCTATAGGCGAGCTGAAGTCTCTATAGGCGAGCTAAAGGGAGTCTATATAGACGAGCTGAAGGGAGTATCTATAGGCGAGCTGAAGAAAGTCTCTATGGGCGAGCTGAATTCTATATAGACGAGCTGAAGGGAGTCTCTATAGACCAGCTGAAGGGAGTATCTATAGGCGAGCTGAAGAGAGTCTCTATGGGCGAGCTAAAAGAAGTCTCTATAGACGAGCTGAAGGGAGTCTCAAAAGACGTTCTTAAGCAGATGTTATTTAATGGGCGACCTTAAGATCTTACTCCTTCAAATATTGACTGAGGATATAGACGAGCTGAGGAAGACAATCGTTATAGTGGAGCTTATGTAATTCTTTATATGCGATCTGAATTATTATGTGCTATAGCATTTGATATCCATTGCACCGAAATGCAGTTTTATTTAAAACTCTATAATATTTGTAGTATAGCGATTTTGTATTACTTTCACATTCTGTTCTCATATATATATATATATATTTTCACATACTTATTTATAAAGCAAAAATGCCTGAAAGGTTGCTTGATTGCCCCCAAGCATAAACATACAAGTATATTTGTTTAAATTGCTTGTATTTTATGTGTTGTATGAGTCTGTGGCCCTCAGGTCCTCTATTCAGGGGGCTACCATGCGTGGTAAATTCAACAAATGCAGCAACAAAAACGGAGTAGCATCATCATCATCAGTATTCACATGAGAATCAGTCGTAGCAGCAGCAGCTGTAATGTCTTGTGTCACATTTATCTTCAAAACTTTACCGGCTTGGAGTTTTTTTTTCCTGTTTTTCCTTTTGTCTCTATAGAAAACAAACTACTCCTCCTCATTCTCTCGCCTCGACGATTCAAACAAAACTCAACAATCAGTTTCTTTCAACGCAATCAAAAAAAGCAAAAAAATGAAGGACATTATATGGCAGAGTGTGTGAGAGCCCAAACACCCGGCTGCCATTCCTTGAACAACTTCCGGAAGCTGTCGCAATGCATTCAAGAAAAATAAACTTTTGTCTTTGAACAGAGTGGTGTGAAGAAAACTGAGGAAAATTCTAAGATATAGATGGTAAGAAAGTGGAGAGAGAGAGAGAGAGTGTGAAAGAAAGAAAACTCCTAAGTAAACGTAATAGAAATTGATTGCTTAGATTATGTGTCTAAGTGTTTTTGTATATTGGAGCAAATAAATAAATGCAATGTGGATGTATGGCTGTCGGTCGGTCTGTCCGTTTGACTATCTTTCAGGGATGCGAAAAAAATACTCTGGGATTTGAACAGAGTGTCTTGTCATTCCAACAGTGTCATTCCATTCACTTGGTCGTAAATGGAATAGAAGGTGTTTACCTGCACATTTTGTTTACATTACATTTCATTTGTCAAAGTTATTTACGGGCTAAATTTAAAAAGGTAATAGTTGAGAGTGGTTGGTTTGTTTGGGTGTATGGGTGCCGAGAGTGTATATTTGTATTTGCCCTGCACCTCTGACCAACCTATCGATATTGATCGAATCTCAAAAGGTGGTCAAATTGAATAAAAGTTTTCAATATCTCATGTGTGCAGATTTTTAAAAAGTGTTATGCTTAGCATTACACAAATAATCAATTTCACTTGAAGTTTGATTAAATATTGGAAATTTAATTATTTGTCTATGATACGATTTAGTGAGCCTGTTGGGAGGGAAACACTTTCGAATGAATTCCTAAAGAGATATGCATATAAAGTTATGCTATAATAAAATAGCTTCAATGTATTTGTACTACTTCAAATTTTAATATCATTACACTGTGGAACAGGGTATTATGTATTTGTGCATATGTTTGTAACGAGATAAAGACATGATTCCTTTGGAACCCTATTGAAATTGGGAAAAATCGGTACAGATTTAGATATAGCTCCCATATATATTTTCGTCCGATTTAAGGTAAATGGGGCACCAAAGTCCATCTATATCTTTCGGTTTGCATGAAATTTGTCACAGAGTACTGAATTAGGTCCATAATGATGTGTGCCAAGTTTCGACAAAAAATCGGTTTAAATTTAGATATAGTTCCATATATATATCACCTATAAAACATCCTTTCAACTCGCCTACAGAAACTCCCTTCAGCTCGTCTATAAAATACCTCTTCAGCTCATCTATAGGGACTCCCTTCAGCTCGCCTATAAAGGCTCCCTTCAGCTCGCCTATAAAGGCTCCCTTCAGCTCGCCTATAAAGGCTCCCTTCAGCTCGCCTATAAAGGCTCCCTTCAGGTCGCCTATAAAGGCTTCCTTCAGCTCGCCTATAAAGGCTTCCTTCAGCTCGCCTATAAACACCTGTGCATTCGTCTATGCAAGAAACTGGCGTTCAGCAGGTGTATGGAAAAATTCCTTAGACCCGACTGAAATCCTCAAAGGTCGTCTCAAGTCTTTACTCTCCTGGTCTATAAATATCCCCCTCATTTCCTCACATTTATCGATGTCACTGTCAATGTTTCATTGTGTTTGATCCTTCAATCTCCAAAATTACACCTTATGCCACACATTGTCAAAATTCATTGGTAATGTACATGGAAAATCCTTAATAATCTTATCATTGTGAAATAATTCATGGTACCATTTCTTCGAATGAATGAATGCACACAACATAAATCGCTATGTGTGTGAGTAAATATATTACTCCTCCATGTCCGGTTACTGAAGCATGTATGTGTGTGTGTATACACAATATCCTTATAGTACTGACATACAAACATACGAGTACAAAGATTCACCGAACATTACAACGTAAAATGTCATCAACAATTTTCTTAATTACCTGTCAACAGTAAGTATGTGGCCATCTCGTACACGTATCCAGGAAACTGATTTATTTCCGAGTTGTTTCACCTGCAACAAAAAAGAAGAAGCATAAGAAGAAATGTAGATGTCAAATGAATGCAGTTAGTAACGACATAAATAAGGAAGTGGATGTGAAGATCATAAACTAAATGATATATGTGTGGTTGTGATGATGATGATGATGACCAGTATGAGTGTGTATGTGCAGTTAAGTACATGTGTGTGCTGTATTTGCTATGGATTGTGCAAGTGTAGTTCTATTCCATAATTATTGTGAAATAGTTAGTTGTTGTTTTTGTGGTTGTTATGATTCGTTCAATGTTATTAATATGTAATTAATATTTGTAGATAGGTTAACATGAAAAGGAAATCAAATGCATTTCATAATTAAATATTCTAATGGAAGCACATAAAAATTGACAGTTGAACAACTGTGAATTGATTAGTAATTAATAAATATGGGGATTGAAAGAGGCCTTAGATATGGGCATTTATTAATATTTAATATCTAAAATGGCAATTTTATTATTATAATTATTTTTATTAACCTCAAGATTAAAATATACTTAATTAAATGCATTTTTTTTTTCTTACAAATTTAAGGCCAAAAGTAGCTGTATTAAATTTTGAAAAAAAAAACATTAGTAAGGGACTTCGTAACTTCCAGCTACCATTTAAAGACTAAATCCTTTCTAGACATAAGGCTACTTGAAGACTGCCAGTTCCTTTTTCAGCTTGTCTATAAAATACTTCTTGCTTCAGCGCATATATTAGCCTTAAGTCATTTCATGAAAGACTCCCTTGCGTTCACCCCATCCATGAAAGACTCCCTGGCCTCCAGCTTTTGTACGAAAGACTTCCTGTCCTTTAGATAGTCCTAGGAAGTCTCAATGGCCATCAGCTCATCCATGAAATGTCATTCATCTTCAGTTCGTTTATTAAAGACTCGCTGACGTTCAGCTCGTCTAATAAAGACTGCCTCGACTCCAGCTCTAATATAAAATTCTTACTGGCCTCTCTTTTACGAGATACTCACTGACCTCCTGCTCGTCTATAAAAGACTCTCTGGCTTTCAACTCGTCTAAGAATGACTCCCTGGCCTTCAGTTCGTGTATGAAGAAGTGTCAGGTCTTCAGTTTATCTATTAGCGATTGCCTGGTCGTAAGCTCGTCTATGAAAGCCTACTTGGCATTCAGGTCGTTTAAATCAGATTTCCTGGTTTTCACGAAGTCTATGAAAGACTCTCTGGCTTTCAGTTTGTCTATGAGAACCTCCTGGGCTTTCAGTTTGTCTTTGAAAGACTCCTTGGCCTTCAGTTCATCAATGAGTGACTCCTTGACCTTCATGTCGTCTATGAAAGGCTCTCTGGCATTCAGTTTGTCTATGAGATCCTCCTGGGCTTTCAGTTCGTCTTTTAAAGACTGTCTGGTTTTCAGCTAGTCTATGAAAGCTTGCTGACCTTAAGCTCGCCTATGAAAGCATGCCTGGCCTTTAGTTCGTCTTAAGAAGATTCCTTGGCCTTCAGTTCATCAATGAGTGACTCCTTGACCTTCATGTCGTCTATGAAAGGCACTTTGGTCATCAACTTGTCTATGAAAGACCTTCTGCCCTTCAGCTCCCCTTCAACTCGTCTACGAGAGATTGCCTGGCCTTAAGGTTGCCTATAAACGACTCTCTAGCCATCAGCTCTCCTTTCCAAGATTCACTGATCTTCAATCCGTTATGAACGAATTCCTGACCTTCAGTTGGTCTATGAAAGATTACCAGGCCTTCTAGTCTGGTCTTCAGTTCGTCTCCGAATAGTATATGAAAATCTTTCTAAACTTCAGCTAGTGTGTGAAAGATTGCATGGGCTAAAGGTCGTCTACAAATGATTTACTGGCCTTCAGCTCTTCTATGAAAGACTCCCTGGCCATTAGGTCGCTCTTTACAAGACTTACTGGACTTTAATCCGGCTATAAATGACTCCCTGGCCTTCAGCACGTCTATGATCAGATAGGAAAGAGTACCTGGCTATAAAAGGCTTCCTGGTTGACGGTTCTTACGGCCATTATCTCGTAATAGCCATTGTCTGTCTCGTAATTAATCCTATTTTTATCTTTTTAATTGAAATTTGATAATTTTTCTCCTTTCATTAAATACAAATTGTTTTCAATTTTCATAATTATAAGGACAAATGGTAAATATCACTGATATGACGAGCTCAATGAAATGTATAACGCAATTTTGACCCTGGAGGTTCATTGTGGTTCAATTCAAATGAAGAAATAATGGAATGATGTTTCCATAAATTCCATTAACTTTATGACATGTTCATACCAGTGAAAAAGGAATTTTCGGAGGCTGAATTGTGCAATTCCCCTTGCTTAGAACATTTCTGATGGCATCATAGACCAACCCGCAATGTGAAAAGATTTCCAATTAAGTGGCATAGTTCTTTGTTAGTCACAAAGCCGTGACATTGCTTGAGAAAATAACACCCTGCCCACCACATACACAAGGGGTTAAATGCCAACCGAGTCAGCTATACAAATTATTTAATTAGTTCTTAATTATTATTAACGTTACTTTGATATCTACTGTTCGCACAGAGACTATTGTTATTTTAATTTCCAATTGTCATTGCGAGAAGAAATTCAATTTTAATTGCAATCATTGCGTTACGTTATACAATCCAATTAAAATAACAGACATACAAATTGCCTCGCTCTTTCCCCCTTCCCCTTTATTAATATATTAGTTGAAATAATGATGATAATAATAATCATTATGCTGGCATTTATAATTATTTTAAGATTTCATAGTTAGTAGCTTCATTGTCTGTTTCGTTGTTCGTCACATTCGCACCCACCCACACACACACACAGACACAAAAAAATAAAGACTATCACATGCAAAGGAACCGTGACAACCAGCCATATCAGAGCTTTATGAAAAGGCCATGGGCCAATTATTGTTACTGTTGTGCTGGCATACAAATAAACCGTTTTTTTTTTTTGTTCTTGTTGCTGCTGTCCGTTGTGCACAATGAATGATTAAATAATTTGATTTATAACACATTCTCGTATTTAAATTCCCCAAAAGGATTTACGTTTTCAGATTGAAACACCACGACCCCAAGCCCATTGCACTCTCGTATCTGTAATTAAATATTTCCATAGTTGATTACATGTAAAAGCCTTTGTGAACACACATGTCACGAGGTCACACATACTATGACTGATTATCCTGTTGCATATTCAACATTTCATCATTATAAATAATAATAGTAATATTTAAAGCAAATTAAATAAAATATTGGTGAAACTCTGGAAATTATATATACTCAAATGAATAAGGCTTATATGTAAGGTCGGGTCACACATTTTATACCCTTTACCACTGGGTCCCTGGTGTATCATTTACATAAAATCGATAGATAATATATAAGGGAAATATACTTAAGTCTCAAACGATTTTCACGAAACTTAGCACACAACTTTCTAGACTAAATTCAGTACTCTATGCAATATAAAAATCATGATACACCATTCACATAAAATCGGATGTAAAACCAGTAAGGAAAGTAGTAAAGTCGGACGGGGCCGACTATATGATACCCTCCACCACTTTGGGTATATTCAACAGATAAATCCTAACAGACGTCGAATTTTTGAAGGGCCATTAAAATGAAAATGTACTAAAAATCGGGAGAAAATATATAAAGGTGCTCTATCCAAATCTGAACCGATTTCAAAACTTTCCACACGCTAGGTTGTATTAACTTCAGTGCGTTGTGCAAAATTTTGTGTCAATCGGTCTACCTTTGGGTCTTTGTTGAACCATTTACTTAAAATCGGACGAACCTATATATAGGTGCTGTATCCAAATCTGAACCGATTCTTATTATAGCACACGGTAGGTTACACTAAATTCAGCACATTGTGCAAAAAAAATATACATTCAGAAGAAAAAATATATAGGAGCTATATCTAAATCTGAACTGATTTTCAAGAAACTTAACACACATTATTCTAGAACTAATTCATTACGCTATACCAAATTTCGTGCAAATCGAGAGATATATAGAGACTTTGGTGCAACATTTACATTAAATCGGACGAAATTATATATGGGAGCTATATCTGAATCTGGACCGATTTTCAGGAAACTTAACACACATCATTTTACACTTAATTCATTATGCTATGACAAATTTCGTGCAAACCAAATTATATATGAGCACTTTGGTAACCATTTTCATTAAATCGGACGAAAATATATATGGGAGCTATATCTAAATCTGGATCGATTTTCATAAAACTTAACACACATCTTTCTAGACCTAATTCAGTACGCTGTGCCAAATTTCGTGCAAATCTAAAGATATATAGGGACTTTGGTGCACCATTTGCCTTAAATCGGACGAATCTATATATGGGAGCTATATCTAAATCTCGACCGATTTTCAGGAAACTTAACACACATCATTTTAGGCCTAATTCAATACGCTGTGCCAAATTTCGTGCAAATCGAAAGATATATAGGGACCTTAAATCGGACGAAAATATATATATTGGAGATATATCTAAATCTGAACCGATTTTTCACAATTTCAATAGGGTTCGTCCCTGGGCCAAATAAGAGACTTGTGCCAAATTTCATCCAAATCGGATCATAAATGCGACCTGTACTTTTTTACAATTTAACATGGACAGACAGACAGATAAATCGACTTAAAAAGTGATTCTATGCATATTCTCAAAAGGAACTATGTCTACCTAGTTTCCTTTGCCTGTTACAAACATATGCACAAAGACATAATACCCTGTACCACAGTGTGGTGAAGGGTATAAAAATATATGGGACCTATATGTAAATCTGAACCGATTATCACAAAACATAGGGCACATCATTCCAGACCCAATTCTGAACTTGCATAGCGTGGAAATAATACGAAATAAAGGGGATTTGGTGCTACTCTTACAAAAAATCGGACGAAAATATATGTGAGCTATATCTAAATCTGTACCGATTTTCACAAAACTAAGCTCAAATCATTTAAGACT